ATACACACTCCCTCTCTCTCTCTCTCTCTCTGTCACACACACAACACAAACACGCACACCTCTCTCCCGATCCCGGCGATCCGAATCCGAATCCGACAGCATTTTTGAAAATCCGACTCCGAATCCGAATCCGACGACAATTTTGAATCCGAATCCGAATCCGAATCCGATTCTTTAAAAATTGTAAATCCGATCCGAATCCGAATCCGATCGGATTCGGATTATCGGATCCGACGCACAGCACTACCGTGCAACAGTTATGGGCACAAACCTGTGATATAACCAGTGTCATCACCATCTAGTATTCTACCCAATAATCATTCACAGGTTTGTCAATAACAGCATAGCTCAATGTCATCGAAGAATAACCTAGTCATCAACATGGTGTAGCGCAGTACGTCTGTAGAGTCGGGCCCAATCTCTATTCCAGACGCTCGTTCACGACTTAAAATTACATTAAATTGACAATTAAATTACTAAAATTATTCAGACTAGTTTAAAGACATAAACCATGCGGTTGTCATCGCCGATATTACTCGGCTAGTTGTCACTGCGCTACTGCTGCTTTCAACGTGTTTTCAAAATGTTTGATTACCGATGGGTGTCAGGTCAGGCGTCGGCGACTCTGACAGCAGGCATTCAATGAACTTGTTCAGCCTCTCCCAGCTCAGCTGCTCTGTGTGAGGTTCATCAGCAGTTTGTGACTTCCCAAGCTCCGTGAAAATCTACGTGACAAAACTCGGCAATTTAATTTTGACACCTTGTTACTCACACAGAGGAAAGTTCAGGAATTGATTGGGACCGTGAAACATCAGTGAAATTCAAGCAAATCATTCTGGTTGCACAGTAGTAGAGACATCTTTGTTGAGGGCATATCCAAAGGAAGATACAGACCCTGGCATATACGCTAGAATGGTCCGGCTCTGTTCCCAGCACTTCCTCACATAGCTGCAGCCACTTCTGGAAATCATAAATACATGACATCGGCATTCCACATTTCATTGCAAATAGAGCAATACCATTGATTTTTAGAGAAAAAACATAATACCACCACTGTCTGCTCTCTATAGAGAATTATTACCAACCTCAATGTGGGCCGATGGCACTCTGGTAACCTGCTTGGTATGTTCTAAACCAAAGAAAAAACATTTGATTAACACAATTGCTACGCATGCTATCCCATAAGTGAGCGATAACTTTATGCAGTTTTAAATTAGATTGTGATGGTTATGTGTGTCAGGCTGATTCTATAGTTGTTAGTTATAAATTAGTTAGTGTATTACTACAGTACCCCGAATTCGCGAGTTCTACAGCTGGCGTAGGATGAAACCAATTTGCATGCATGCGCAACACGTGCCGTGGCTTTATTCATGCAAGGCTCGCCGCTATGTCAGTTTATGTTAGCTTATGCAGTATGCACGTTCCTGGGGATTCAGTAACCGAGCACGGTAGCATACGCACGTGGAAACTGGAGTCTGTCCTTCTGAAGTATGAACTTTACATATGGCTGTGAACACGCATTGTGGTGTAGAGTGTGTGATATTGCGATGCAATAGGTTGAGCTCAGTTCTCTATTCGCGTAGTTTAGTGTAGTGCGTGACACGAAAGATAAGCATGGCGTTTACACTGAGCCTAATGTAAGATCTCTTAGCTAGTCTTGGAATATATGCACTGTATGCATTGTGTGTGCATATGTTCAGCATATCTTGGTAATCAAACACCTTGTTGAGTGTGTGGGGCACCTTTTAGCTCTGTTGTTCTGCATTCTATTCTGTTGTTGCTCACGTGAGACATCTGGAAGGAACCTACGGGTGTCGTTATACCAGACTCATGTAGTCTTAGGATGTTCAGGTCCTAATCCAAGCCATTTTTCATACTGAATACCGGCGCCCAAATTACGACCCCTAGCAAAACGCCAAAATTACAAAATTCATAAAACGCCAAAATTTCGCTCGCCAACGGTCCCCCATTTTTGCCATGGGTGCCCATATTAAGCAGCTAGATTAGCCGCTGATGTTGCTATCCTTGTAGATTCTGGCCATGTAACACCACAGGAAAGCATGTTACACTTGGTGACCATGTCCATAGGTTATCAATTCAGACGGGCAATGAACGTTACAATAACAAACTATAGCACTAATAGAACAAGTGCCGCAGAGCGACAGCGCTCACCTGACGGCAGGTGTTCTGATGCTAAACTCACTGGCAAACGAATGAAGAGCACCCTCCCATCACCGCGTTCATGCTCAGAGCATATATCTAGGATACTACTAATACAGATCTAAAATCTATGATAGCTAGGCTTTGCTATACCGGTAGTACAGTAATAAAGATACAGCTGTGTAACTTTAATGACTTCGCTATATTAACATGTTATCATGGATATGCGTCGAGCGCGAGCATAGTGGTGGTGGTGGGGGGAGAGTGGGGGGAGGGGGCTCTAATAGCAAAAGCAGTTGCCGCGAGATGGCATGTGCAAGTGTCATCAATAATCAAAGATGGCTTCACCCTTCGTGTGTGATAACCTCACTCCATTGAGTTGCTGAAATCCAAGTATATTCAGGCAGGCAAGAATTTCGCTCAGCTGTGAGTTAACACATCTGCATTGCAGGTTGCCAGGCAATAATTATGATTAGAATAGTGCCAGTTCACCCCATGCATGCGTAATTGGCTGCCCCCATGCTTTTGCCTACCCACGCGAGCATTCAGGGTTCATTACAGTGTGCTAATACAGGGTGCTACTCAGGGTGCTAATACAGACTGCTTTAGAAAATAATATGATTTAAGGAGCGTAAACCTTGTTCAACAAACATTTGCCTTTGCAATTGAACTGTGCAACTGTAGCCTCACATCCACAATAGCAAAAGCAGTTCAGTCCTTTGTTAACAGTCAACAAATCCATGTTTAACCCTCCTCTTGAGGGTCAAAAGGTTATCCGACACTTACTCTTCGCATGTCAGCAGAAAGTACATTTCATGGTCCTTTCAATAAAGCCATAAAAATGCTAGGTCACCGCTGAAACAAAAAAGTTTTGCAATCACTCCGTCGGACCATGTCCTCAGAAAATGTCTAAAATCTGCCCTGTGCCCCATTGACCTTTGACCTGTGACCTCCAATTTCGGCACAGTGATGGCTTTTCCTACCATGATGCTATACACCGACTATCACAAGCCTAGGTCAAGCCATTTAGATTTGTGCCGCAATTCTGCATTACCTCCCTATACCTTAAGTTACGGAGGGAATGTTCCCTTCTTTTACACCTCTTGACCTTTGACCTTTGACCCCCAGCTTCGACATCCCAGCTCGTTTTCGGATTACCCCCCCCCCTCCCACGTCCCAACTTTCGAATCCGTACGTTGAGCCGTTTAGATTTGTGCCCAACTGTTGACGCACGCACGCACTGACGATCATGCGATTCTACAAGCTGCATCTGACTTCGTCAGATGAGCTAAAAATACTGCTCATCTTACAACAATACTTACCTAGTCTCAATCGTGCATGTGCTTTTTGTGTTCTCAAGAATTGCTGAATCTGAAACGAAGTCAGTGACCGCTGATTCTAAGCATTAACAAAACATGACTAGTATATGGCATTACTTTGAGGATTACCTCCTCACAGCAAAAAATGTATTTGTCTCAAAGATTAAGCAAATTTTTTAACAAAGCAATACCTCATCCATGCTCTTAGATTTCACCATGGTCGTGATTGTGTTAATGTCTTTTGTTCCATACCTAGAAAAATAAATTATTGATTTCATCAAACACAGATCTATGTAGATCAATATTTAATTAAGCCATAACCAAATGCTAATGCGACAGAATTTCCATGCTGTCCATGACATGTGTACAAAAGTTAGCATTACTTATTGCCTCCTAGACACACTGTGATATCGACTGTGACTAATATCGTAATCTCGCAGTGGTAACTCGACAACTTCATGATACTGGTGATAGTGATAGTGATACTAGTGATACTGATAGTCCGAGGTACAGCTATAAGTACAAGTGTGAAGTGTCGTGAAGTATGAGTATAATGAAGTCATTACTTTAGTGAGTCACCCACCTTTATTGTTTCTCGAAACACAGGCCTTATTACAAGTAATACAACGTTTCGATGCCAATGACATCAGGGCTCACAAGCCTGACGCATTTGGCGTGAGACTCGCGCAATTCCGCACAATCTCACGCTCTCACGCACATTTCTGATAGTCCCCAAAAATCTCACGCAATTGCAAGAATCCAGTTTTTCTTCGTTGCGTGGAGTGGGTTGATCTAGCCGAACTTTGCCGAAAAACGCGGGACACGGGGCACGGGAATCTCGAGATTTCTTACTTGTGGCGCACACAGTGACTGATTTTGCTAATCTGACGTCACACGTTACTATAAATATCCTTTCACAGAGTTGGCCGGGTGCGGAGCCTGCTGGAATCTCGAAAAATCTAGGCGAGTTTAAAGCAAATTATGACAAATTAAGTACCACAACCCCCAAAACGACTGTTTATTGCCAAATGTTTTTACCCCCTCCCCGAGTCCCTCCACCCAACCACCCACCTTCATGCTTCACGCCTGCGGCGCGAAGAGTAACCCGGTAACGGGTAACTTGGCCTCCGGCCTTAGAAGTTAGATTTTCTGATTCAAAATAAATCTCACTCATTTTTAAAGCTACCCCTTGAGGGCCCTGTGTGTGACATATGATCAAACCTTTGTATGGCACCAACTAATTTCTTTTTCTCTGTGTATGTCCACCTCCCTTCTTTATCTTTCCTATGATGGTACCGTTGAGTTCGTCTATGCGACACCACCATCCTCTCAACAGGTTTTCTCGCTCGCTTCGGCGGTTTCATGTCGAATATATTTTTGCTTAGTATTAATTACTCCACAAATATCAGGTCGCATTAACAGGATGCATGCATGATGCTATGCATGTTTGGCTTGAATAACAATATTACAAGCGGGCCGCCATATTACGCAGAATGTGATGACGTACGCAATAATGTAGCGTGGCGGAAACTGACGAGGTCACTAAGGTCATTATTTTCCAGCCATTTCATTGGCTACGAAGTTCGCCGAGTACGTCAGTGTCAACGAGTGCAGCCATTGCAGAGTGAAGTATTATTTCGATCTACAAAATTGGTTTTTATAACCTGATATCAACTGTATAGTCAAATAATATTATTGCCTATTTGGATGGGGCGATACGTTATCAAATGGGTTAATTGTTTCATATTGAATTACAAGTCGGAGCGATAAAGTGTGCATCGTGTACAGTTACGAGGTTGGGCAGTGTAGTCGGTCGTTCCTGCTTTGCCATGTTTCACTGTGACACTGATCCATCGCAGAAATACAGCTAGGCCCTACCGACCAACTTTCGCCAGGTTGGCACATTGAAATAGACCTTTTAGTGGACACTTAAATACTGTGTGAAAATAAGTGCCTCTCTAACGTGATCCTAAGAGTACAATCTTCTTTAGTTTACTTCTTAATTGTGCCTCATTAAATATCGATAAGGACAGGCTGTGCCATTTGGTTGATGAATTATGAGTAGTTCTCGAGCAAGGACTACTTCATTTGCGGAACCAGGAAAAGTACCTGCTTCTGGAGGATCCATGCAAGGGCTGAGAATCAGCAGTAAGTATAGTTTCTTGCCCAAACCTCCGTAAATGTGTACTTTACTACTCTAGTCTGGGGCCCGTTGTCAGAAACAAAATTAGTCTTAACATTTAATAGTCTAATCTTAAAGCGATCATTGCGAGTTTTTTTCAGCGTTTTTTAGTGTTTATTCTCACTCTCATGTAGACCGAATAATTCTGTCCCATATAACCTTTTTTATATTTTGGTGAGGGTTATATTGGGACAGAACGGGGTTCATTGAAATTTCGTGAGATCGCATGCAAAATGCATGCGCTGAGAATGCGGCCCGTACGCCGCTATTGGCGCGAAAAAAAACTTACCGTCCCCTTCTACATGGCTTTACCTTGCTACTGATATGTGTATACATTCACTTCAATCGATATTCCCTTCTTAAAAGATTGTATTTCATAAACACCGCTTCGTTCAACTTTCCTAAATTACATCGCCATTTACAAACAATCAGACCAATCAGAGCGAGTCTTACAATAGCCCCTGGTTCTCGCTTGTATCTGTGGCGCTGCAGGAGGCCTGATAGACTCGCTGTGATTGGTCTGATTGTTTGTAAATGGCGATGTAATTTAGGAAAGTTGAACGAAGCGGTGTTTATGAAAAACAATCTTTTAAGAAGTGAATAACGATTGAAGTGAATACATGTATACACATATCAGTAGCCAAGGTTAAGCCAATGTAGAGTGCCGGAACGGGTAGCCGTTTTTTTTCGCGCCAATAGCGTCGTACGGGCCCGCATTCTCAGGATGCATTTTGCATCGATCTCACGAAATTTCAATGAAGCCTCGTTCTGTCCCAATATACCCTCACCAGATATAAAAAAGTTATATGGACAGAATTATTGTGCGTCTAAACTCTCATGATGCCTAACCGTTGTTGCTTGATTAACAGTAAATTTGTTTAATGAATAACATAAAATGTCTATAGAACGCATGCAAAGACAAAATTTATTGCACGATTACATTTTGCGTTCTCTTGTTGATTTTCGCTGCTCATGTCTCGCAATTTCTCTGCAGATACCGCGGAGACGTCAACAAGGGTACAATAATTGCAAAAATCGCACCCGGAAGGGATTTTTGGTACAGATGTAAACACAGAGGTGCCATAGTAGCAGTAACACAAACAAGAGTGTAAGTGTAACTTCATAAATATTACTATTAGTCTTCAAAAGGTCCTAGGGACTATAAACGATAGACGGGGAGAGAGTTGCGATCAAATCCTCGTGACGTACTGCGCAGCGAGAATACGTATCACAGAACAAATAGAGATGCCCCTTTGTTTTGATTATGTTCGCTTGTTTGAGACGCCATTTTGTGATTTTTGAGAAGTCCTGACTCATTTGATTATAGCGGTATGATGTGGTCAAATCAATTTCAATATGCTATAACTGCATAAATATTGGTGTTTGATGTTGGTGTATATACAATATATTGGACCTATTTTCAGGTGAATACGAGGATTTATTAACCCGGACGGTGATAAGTTCCCGAGGCGGACGGCGGGGAACATATCGCCTTCACGAGCTTAATAAATCTCTGTATTCACTGAAAATAGTCTCAATAACTGTTTTTTATATGACCATTTTTTATAACTTAACCATGTGTTAGCCACCAATCCATACTTAGTTTTCAGCTGCGTCATCGGAAACAGTCCAAATTTGTCAAGCCGGTTTGTTTACACTGTCGGTCTGCCATTTTCACTCCAGTGAGCAACGACAATCGCGCTTCTGATTGGTCAAAAATTGCACGCACAGGCTCCTGGATTATAATATTCACCTGCGAGGCGCCCGACGCGGGTTTTGGATTGTTATATTCACCTCGCGTGCACGGATTCTGTAGGTTATGGTGGAACATCGCAATATATTTAGACCTATAAGAGGGGTTTTGACCAATCAGCGTGTGGGAAAAATGACAGTCATATAATAATCAGTGATATTTTCGCTGTCAGGTGAGACTATATTCAGCTATATTTAGTTTTTCTGAGCAAATTCTCGCAATGATCGTTTAACATTAACTTCACTCGTTACACCGTTGACAGAAACATCATAATGTTACCGAGAACGAAAATCCTCGCAAATTATCCTCTTAACATTACGAGAGCCCAGACCCTCTCGTAACTTTAATATTTTAAAGATTTGAAAATAACACATTGACACTACGAATTTACAATTATAGTATATTATATTTTATAATAATGAATAAAATGTGTTTTTTTCTTGAAAACCCTGTCAAATCATTAATTATCTACACACTAAATAAAACAAAACAATACATTTACAAATGGCATATGGCATTTGTTCTCTTGTTTTAAACGTTTGCCATGCTTGGCACGACTCTCGCGTCTCGTGTTACAGTGTGAGAATTTGTCTTGTTGTGCAGAATAAATTCATGACCACGTCATTTTTCATCAAATATTATTTATATGTGGTTAGCCATCATAATATGCATAAATTATTGTGATGTACAATAAATGTGTATGAATTTGAATTTTGTGATTGATTCTCATCCAATCAGCAGCCTTGTGACATGAAATTATGAAGTTCCTGTTATCGTGAGTTTGCTCGTAGAGCTCTACGATGTGTTTCTGTCAACGCTACTCTCGTAACATTAACATTAGTCGTAAGTGTTATCGTAGCAAAACGGTAGCATTAACATTAGCATTAACTTTACGATGTTTCTGACAACGGGCCCCTGGTGCATACAGACGGGAAATGGGGAATGGGGTGGGAAATGGGGCAGTTATGGCTGCTTGATTGATTTCAATCAATGAGATATTCCTGAGATGCCTGCCTTTAATAATTTTGTTACTTAGCACATCAGTATGACTGTGAGGGGTAGGTATTGGCTATTCAACAATCCGCGATTGATTGACCCACATGCACCTGGAACATTTCAAGAATAACGTAAAGACTAATGGTAAATAAACACGAAATATATTTACTACTAAAGTTGTGGCCCAAGGATATAAGAGCTGTCCACATTTGCACATGTCGTACATTGCGAAAATGAATTGGGGACAGCTGTTATATCCTTGAACCAAAGTTTTAATGCTTATCTATTCTCCTTTGCCTATTATTTGGTAACAGCCAGTGTCCCCTAAATGCAGTTCAGACACTCCTTTGCAACACAATTTTGTTGCACGCACGCCACTGTACACAAACTCACAGTAAGATGGAGAACTTTATCGAACGGCATTTATGTGAAATTAATAGTCGACAGAGGATACATATATTGAGACTGGTAGTAAATACATTTCATGTTTATTTACCATCATTTTATTATTGAAACGTTCCATTTGCCTGTGGATTCACCCATTGTTCGTATTAAACCTTGTATGAACTCTGAATAGCTGGCTGTAGGAATCTAGGAAGATGTGCTCGTACCAATAACATCTAACCTTCCAAGGGTAGAGTGATTTTTCTATTTCCAATTTATACATGGAGTAGGTAACACTGACATGTTTCAAGCACGAAAATCTTAATATTGCACTCAAAGTACCAAGTTCAGAAGGGAGTGCAGGGTTAGAAAGTAACTTTTGAACAAGGGAGTGCAACGGACTCCCTGCCCTAAGGGAGTCCGTAGCAAAATGAGGGAGTCCGCAGTCTGAAGTTCAAAACTAAAGCACAACAACAATAACGCATACATGTGCGTATTTTGAAGATTCATGCGATGCACGTCTGCCAAATTTTCTTTGGACATTTGCTGGAAAAAATATGGTAATTCCGTGAGGCCGTGCTCTGGAACGAACTTGTTAGTATAGCAGAATTTTCAGGGAGTCGCACAGTTAAATCAGGAAGTCCGACAGTAAATCAGCCCTGGACTATTTGACTCCAGACTCACGTTAATTTCGCACCCTGGAGTGTTATACTTATAGTTGTGAGAGCGCATCAGTTAAATTTCGCCATTTATAAGAACTTTAGGCTTATCTTCACGAGAGTATGAGATTGGGTTACGTTCCACGTCCATTAACGTGCCTGCTCATCTGCAGTGTTATGGACAGTACCTTCAGCTTGTTAAATTTTAGCTACATATAAAACAATGAGAATTACTTGGATGCCGGTCTAGAAATTTGTCATTGGTTTTTGCCAAATAAACATGCTATTGATGTTTTGAATAAGAATAGCGAGTAAGATTCCAGTTGGTGATAAAATGCCAAGGTATTTATTGGCATTGTGAATTGGCTTTTAGTATCATTCCAATGTTCTTTCATGTCCAATTCCGGCAACTTTATAAATTATAGCACTGGTTGACATGTACAGCCAATCACTGTTTTGCTTGCCTGGCAGATATCTGATTGTTTTTTGTTTGGACGAGTTGTTTTTTCACCGTGCAGTTAAAGTGTATTGCGATTCTCATTCTTAATCCTGGGTGAAAAAGTCTATGGACATCGCAGTAGTTCAGTGAATCAGTTAAGTGGTTAAAAAAGCGTTGATTCTACAGTGTGCAGTGTAATGTACAGTACGCATTTGGAAGAGAGAGAAGCAGAGAGCGAGCGAGAGAGAGAGAAAGAGAAAGATAGTTGGAGAGAGAGAAAGAGAGAGGGATAGAGAGAGAGAGATTTTACATAAATTTGCTATAATGTCAATGATTTCGGGGAGTAACAGGGTGTGGGCGTACCGTGAATGTAGACTGATCGACACAGCTCCCGACGCCGTAAATTGCATGGTGAGGTGAACGAGTTGTGAGAGTGAGAGCCCCTGGGCACCAGGGCCAGTCAGTCTCCTCGCTTCTCTTGGTAAACACGAAAAAGCTCGCAGATACAAACAAACCCGATGCTGGGAGATATTTCTCTCGGCGCGCGCGCACACACACCTCGTGTGACGAGATTGGACGCATTTACCAGTGGGCGATGCAATCTGTCCATTAGCACTAGTTAGCAAATACGTGGTCAACACGGCCATCCACCACGCACCGTTTCGATATGAGGTGTCGAGTTTAAGCCAACTAAAAAAACAGCACTGCGGGTCGTCGCCACACTAGTGAAGCAGT